TTAATCACCCTGTCAAAATCCTTTGTGTTACGGCATTGAAATTCGAACAATACGTTATTTCAATGATTTTGGGTTTTTTTGAGACACCCTGTACACTACAACCAGATTAAAATGAAATTAAAATTTGACGCCTTTTCAATTGCACATATGCTGAACCGTAGTGCGTGAAATATTGATGGGGGATATATTAGAAATTAGGAGACCTTTAGAAATTGAAATTACGTTTAAACAAAAGATTGTCTGCTCCTGGGAACAATCTGCCATGCATATTGTACGTAGATCGCATGTTACGCACTCGTGCATGGGCTTAGCAAGGTGGTCCAGGATTCAAATTATAACAATGCATGGTTGATTAGTTTCTAAAGGTCTCTTTTTGCTAATATACAGGGTGTCCCAAAAAAACCCGAAAACTATTGAAATCACCAATAACAATTTAATTGTTAGAATTTGAATGCCTTAGCGCTCTGTTGGTTCCCACGAGTGCATAAATGATTGACATAAGAAAATTTTATGCATAAAGAAACTGTTTAAGAAGCTGTTTTAATTCCCAGGAGCAGAAAATCGCACACTTTACCAGGACATATTCCTAACTAAATTCTAATACATGCACCTTGTCAATATTTTACGCATCATTACGTCCAGCTGTTTGGTAGGGCATTCAAATTTAACAATAAGTGATTTCAATAGTTTTCGTTTTTTTGGGGACACACAGGGTGTCTCAAAAAACCGCTACTTTGGAAATTCACCACTGTTCTAATTTGAATGCCTGAGTGCTATCTTGAACTCATGGGTGCATGAACAATTTGAATGGAATTTTATGCTTGAAATACTCTTTGCTCTGTGCTCAGTTGAGCCATTTGCTTAACATTCACTAATATGTAATTGAACGATTTTCGTGCAGTTATACTTTTGTATGAACCTACTTTCAATTCCCAGGATAAACAATTTCGCTTTTCAAGGATATTTTAATTCCGAAGATCTTTAATATATGCATCCTGTGAAAATGTTTACGCATTCATGGCGCCAATCACAAAACAGAATTAGTGGTTTTAACCACTAATTCTGTTTTGTTCGGCACGGTTTAATCAAAGAATCGCCCCGTTGAACCAGAGCCTTCGCGACATTTCAATTTATTATAATATTTGCTGTCGAAGGCTCTGGAATCCATGGTAACTACTACCTAGCAACATTGCAACAGTACTGATTAAGCTTATTTCACATATACCGGTTTGCCCTTATTCACCTTATTGCATATACTATTATTTAATACTATAGCTACTTTTGTTTCTCTAGAGAATTGGAAACGTACGTGTGAGGGTATGGGAGTACTGAGTGTATACCAAAAGAGAAATGGTGTCAACTAATACACCTGAAACCACTCAAGCCCGATAATGGTTATAATTGGACGAGAACGACGAGGTTGTTCGTTCAAAGTCTTCAAATCATTGAAGTTTCAAATCGATCAGTTAAGGATCGTTAAGGTTTCGTATTCTGTGGTTAAGGCTATATATATTTGCCTTGTAATTAATGTCAAAATTGCAACAAAATGTAACGAATGCAAATAATTCATGCCAGAAATTAGCCTTTCTCACGATGACGAATATCCGCCATTTTTGTGTGGCATCTAATCCTCGTTAACCAATGCACAGGGACGTCGCTAT